GTACTTTAGAACCATGCATTGCCCAGGCCTACACCACCGGGACCATCTTGATTGGCTTGTGCCAGTCTTTGCAGTTCGATCGTGAAATGTTTGAAGGTATGTTTCAGGGTATTTTAGCTTTACTGTAATCCTTTCTTTCTTTCTTTCTTTCTTTCTTTCTTTCTTTCTTTCTTTCTTTTAGAAGGGGGATTTTATTACAGTCAACTGAAAAAAAAAACATGTTTCTCCAAGATTCATGTTCTAATCTTTTTTTCTAGTCAGAAGACCTTGGGTAGTAAAAATAAAAAAAGAAAGAGGAACCTTTGCACCACAAAGAAGTGACCCTTGCCTCACTGGGCTGAGTAAAAACAGAGATTTTAGAAAAAAAACATTGGCCTCTCTTTTAAATAATTTATCAGGGCTGCAGAATAAAGGAGGTTGGTCCAACTTGGCTGGCAGGAATTAAAATGTACCACTGAATTCTTTGTGGTTAATTCTATAATGCAAACAGCTTGATATCCCAAAGATGTATAAAATATATTTGAATATTTCAGACTGAATCTTGGAATAGTGGAGTCAAATTACTAAAGCAGGTCAAAGGCTCTTGCTTAGAACACAAGGAAACAAAGAGCTATTGTGATAGAATCACTAGACATTCTGAAAAGAGCGCTCTTGCATCTAAGACCGAGGAGCAGTAAGGACTGCCAAAGAGATCTAAAACCTGCTGGTAAGCTCTTGGTTGCATAAATAATTCCAGATGATCATCACAGTCATTTCCAGTAATTCTGAATCATACAAAATATTATTTAAATAGAGTGGCCCTCAAGATATTAGAAGCTGCAAGTTGGTAACATCATTTGGTTTCTGTGTGACCCGAGTCACAAGGACAGTGTCTTTTTGGAAATACGATCTTCTGGAATAGACTCTTGACTACAGCTGATGGAAAGGCGTGACATCGAGCCAGGGTGAAGGCCCTCCAATGATTGGGAACCTCTAGATTTGTTAAGTAAGCCAGAGGGGAGGCAAGATATCTATTGTCTTTGTTGACAATGAAGGTTCGGGTCGGATCTAGATCCATTTGGTGCTCTGTGTCTATGATATGTTGTTTGACAAGTGCTTTGGCTTGATCGTATTCCATACTGAGTAGCAACCCTGGGGAGAAGCCCAGTGATGAGATTTTAGTTGCTATAGACTGTTTCCATGTAGACTGGAAGTCATATTCCATGGTTAAAGGAACAAGACCAAGGGGAGCATGGGATACTCTGAGCCAGTAGATAAGTATGACCACCCATATCCTGGCCTCCACTCTCATGAAACCTGTCTCCAGTCACAGGACGGCACTGGAAATGCATTTTGGTACTTGCAGGGCCGATCTCAGAAACTTTGTCTGTACCAGCTCTAGTGGAGAAGGGCCCTAGCTGGGCAACATACAGGACTTGTGCTTGTTACTTAGTTTCAAATAGTTTAAGTGCTGCAGGTGTGAAGTGGCCACTTGACTTAAGATATTTTAAAATGGCAATTGAGCTCCTCTGTGCAGCGTGGGCTATGTGATCTCCGTGGGCTTCTCTGCTACTGTTTGATTGGAAGACTATCCAAGTATTTGTAACATGGGAACTACTCGATTTTATGTCTGTCTATGCTGCAACTGTGACTCTTGAGTCTTTTGGCAAAAGCCATGATTTTGGTTTTATTGTAACTAAGTTGGAGCTGATCTGCTTTTCAGTATTGTGTTAGTGCTCTCATTGCTCTTTTAAGGCCAATGGGTGTTCTTGAGAGTACAGCTGCGTCATCTACATAAAGTAAGGTGGAAATATGTCTTTCTGTCAGTTTTGGGGGGCAGGGCGGGGTGGAAATCCTTGTTGTGAAAATGGTCCACCATAGAGTTGATGTAAAAGTTAAATAGTAAAGGGGCCAGGATGCAGCCTTGCTTACCAAGTTTTCCCGTTCCAACTGTCTCTGTGAAGTCCCTTCATGAAATAGGTGTATTAGGTGAAGTAGTTGGCGATCAACTGTAGAGCTCTCCAGTTTTTCCCATAGTTTGACTTGGGAGATGGAGTCGAAGTCTGCTTTAAAGTCAATTGAGTCGACATACAGTGAGGATATGTTTTGGGAAGAGTATTTTTCAACAAGATGTTGCAATACCAGACATTGGTCTATGGTGGCTCAACCTTCCCTGAATCCAGCTTGCTCTTCAGCAAGTATGCTTTCTTGTTCCAGCCAGTCTTGGAGTATCCATTGAAGATGTCTTGCATATAACATACTGATTGTATTGAGGAGGCTGATTGGTCTGTAGTTTCCAGGGCCATCTTTCTTTCTTTTTGTAGATGGGGACAATGATTACAAGCCCCCAGTCCTTGGGGATTTGGCCATAGTTGTCAATGCATATGAAAAGTGTGGCTTTTCATTGAGATAGCACTAAAAATGATGGGAAGGGGAGGCTTCATAGACTCCCCATTACCAGCAATGACCTGGATCTTGCCGCATTTTTTGCCTGAGGACTGAAAACGGCTTTTTGGGTGTACACCCGTTTTCAGGAGTTGCACAAAAATGGATCCGCGGATCCATTGAAATTTAGAGAGCAGAAATAGATCACAGTTCAGCCGGAATGCACAAGCCTAAGGGGCCCCTGGTAGCGCAGTGGGTTCAACCGCTGAGCTGCTGAACTTGCAGACTCAAAGGTTGGCGGTTCAAATCTGGAGAGTGGGGTGAGAACCTGCTGTTAGCCCCAGCTTCTGTCAACCTAGCAGTTTGAAAACATGCAAATGTGAGTAAATCAATACTTACTGCTCTGGCAGGAAGGTAGTGGCGCTTTATGCAGTCATGTCAGTCACATGACCTTGGAGGTTTCTACGGACAATGCTGGCTTAAAAATGGAGATGGACTCATACCCCAGAGTTGGACATGACTAGATTTAATGTCAAGGTGAAACCTTTACCTTTAATAACATATCTTTTTTTGGGTGGGGGGAGGGAATGTTGAGAAGGAAGACTTCACTACCTCCTTGACTAATGCTCACCATCTCTCCTGCTAGCAGGTTTAAAATGTTAATATTGATCACACTCACTGGGGGATTCTGTCTATTGAAGTTAAAAGGAGTCACTTCTGGTTTAATGCATGTAATGTTGGTGGAAGTCTATAGAGAATTTGCACAAAAACCTTCATGAAACATAAAATATCAGAGGTTAACACTCTTTTAAAAGATGGTGGCCACTCTTTCAATCTTGGAGGAAGGAGACAGTAAATTTCCTTTGAAGAAATAGTGCTGAAAAAAATCCAATGATGTGTGTTAGGATCTATTCAAGCCAGAGTCAGCTTGAATACATACAATGATCACCACTATCACCACAATCATGTTTGGACAAAATCCCCTTGGCATCTCCTCCTATGAACCAGCTAGGATGTTAAGATCGTCTGGGGAGGCCCTGCTCTCAATTCCGCCTGCGTCATAAGAGCGTTTGCCGAGGATGAGAGACAGGGCATTCTCAGTGGTGGCCTCTCAGCTAGGGAACGCCCTTCCTACAGACATTAGATCAGCCCCCTCCCTGTTAGCCGTTCATGAAGACCTGGTTGTCCGAGCAGGCATTTGAAAAGGCAGTGTAACGAATATAGGAATATGGAACAATTGGATGATGAACTTGGATCTTGATTTTAACTATGAGACACTAATGAGATGTTTTACTGATTTATAATGATTGTTTATTATGCTACTGTTTTAATTGCCTTTAACCGTTTTATGATGTTTTGAGCATTGAATTTATCTACTGAGTCGCCCGAGGCCTGAGAAAAGCGGTATGTTAATATAGTAAATAAATAAATAAATAAATAGATCCTCCAGGTCCCACAGGGCTGTGATGTGACCAACCAACTATGACACAGGAGGAGTCATACTATGTAGGGATGTCATGGCAACTTTTGCCACGGCAACACCTCTCTCTTCCCCCTGCTTCCCATCTTTCCATTGTCCTCTATTCAACATCTCAACTTGCAACATCTCAACTTCCTGCTCATAGGTGAGTGGGGACATTTTCCATCCTTTCCTAAGCAGACTCTCTTCTGCTTTTCCATGACATCCTTCGAAGGGGCAGGAGGGGCAATATTTTAGTCTGATTTAAAGACACAATAGTATACTCAAATATTTCTTATTATTTGGTTTGAGSACACWAAAGTTTGAAGTAGCACAATATTTGCTGGGGCTTATCTGAAATCAATGGGGAGCAWATCATTATATCATCATCATATCATATTTAATTACTTATTAATCGCCCTCCATCCGAGAATGCTCTAGGTGATTTACAGCTAAATTGTAAAAGATAAAATACATACATACAGAAATTAAAAATTAACAGAGATCGAATGCTCTAGTAAAAAGCCAGGTCTTAAGTGCGAGAGTAAAAGGCCCTAAGTCACGCATGGCTCTCATGTAGGGCGGCAAGGAATTCCACAAGGCAGGGGCAGAAATAGAGAAAGCCCATCTGCGCCTGGTCCTTTCCAAGTGCACTTCTCTAGGACCCGGTATATGGAGTAAGTCACGTTGGGATGATCGTTGCGACCTCCGATGATGGGAAAAGGAGAGGCGGTCCCTAAGGTACAATGGACCCTGGCACCATCGAAGGTGGGTAATGGAGGAGTCAGACCTGCCGGGCGGCCATGCCAGAGAATCTCAGTCTTCGCCAGGTTCACCTTCAGTCTGCTAGCACGTAGCCAGTTYGACAGAGCTTCCAGACATAGGGTGAAATTGTCTGGAATTGACGTTGCTCCAGGCTCCAGGCGCAGAAGGAGTTGGGTATCGTCTGCATATTGGTAGCAGTCCAGGCCAAAACTCCGAGCCAAACTAGCAAGGGGTCTAACATAGATGTTGAAAACAGTGGGGTTATATAGGTCCACACTGAGCATATAATACACTGTGTTAGATGGCATTGTAGATCTAGCCAATGTCTCAGAATTATTAAGTATGCTTAAATGCTAACTATGCTGCAGTCTTGCTTTCCAAATATGCTTCCCTTGAATGCCATTACAGGTCCTTTAAGCTGGAGAACTTGACTACCAACTAGGAGAGTTTTATGGATTCACCATGGCTGCTTCTCAAACTCCTCCTATTTTTCACAATTATAACAACTGGTAAGTAAGAAGTACTTAGTTGTCCACTGCGGAACATATTTCAGCTTGGATGGTATTCAAAACACTTCAGTCATAGATTTATAGAGTTGGAAGATATCTAAGGGCCATGTATTCCAGTCCCATTCTGCCATGCAGGAATGCCTACCAAAGCACTCCTGGCAGATAGCCATCCAGGCTCTGTTTAAAAACCTCCAGAGATGGTGAATCCACCAGACTCCCAGGCAACACATTCCACTGCCAAAACACTCTTACCAACAGGAAGTTATTCCTGATATTGGGTGGAATGGTTTTTTCCTGCAGTTTGAATCCATTGCTCCACATACATATCTCTGGAGCAGTAAAAAAAAACAGACTTGCTCCATCAAATATGGCATCCCTTTAAATTTGTAAACAAGGATATTATATCCCTCTTAACTTTTTCTTCCCCAGGTTAAACATACCCAGCTCGCTAAGCTGCTTTCACAGGGATTCATAGTTTTCAGAACTTTGACCATTTTTTTGCCCCCCTCAATATATTAGAACTCAATATAATAAGAACTGACCATGGAACAACAGACTGTTTCAAGATTTGGAAAGGCATATAGCAGGGTTGTATACTCTCACCCAACCTATTCAACTTGTATGCAGAACACATGTGATGTGCAGGGCTTGACGAATGCAACTTTAACAACCTTAGATATGCAGATGATACCACTTTGATGGACAAATGCAAGGAGGAGCTGAGGAGCCTTCGAATCAAGGTGAAAGAAGAAAGTGCAAAAGCTGGGTTGCAGTTAAACATAAAAAGAAACAAGATTCTGGCACCGGACTGATTGATAACTGGCAAATAGAGGGAGAAAACATTGAGGCAGTGACAGACTGTATTTCTAGGTGCAAAAATTACTGCAGATGCAAACTGCAGCCAGGAAATCTGAAGATGTTTACTTCTTGGGAGGAGAGCAATGGCCAATCTTGATAAAATAGTGAAGAGTAGAGATATCACACTGGCAACGAAGATCCGCATAGTTAAAGCAATGGTATTCCCCATAGTCACCTACAGATGTGAGAGCTGGACCATATGGAAGACTGAGCGAAGGAAGATAGATGCTTTTGAACTGTGGTGTTGGAGGAAAATTCTGAGAGTGCCTTGGACCATGAGAAGATCCAACCAGTCCAAACTTCAGGAAATAAAGGCCGATTGCTCACTGGAAGGGTATTAGAGGCAAAGATTTACTTTGGCCACATCATGAGAAGACAGGAAAGCTTAGAGAAGACAATGATGCTGGGGAAAATGGAATGAAAAAGGAAGAAGGGCCACCCAAGGGCAAGATGGATGGATGGTATCCTTGAATTGACTGGCTTGACTCTGAAGGAGCTGGGAGTGATGATGGCCGTCAGGGAGCTCTAACATGGGCTGGTTCATGGGATCATGAAGAGTCGGAAGCGACTGAATGAATAAACAACAACTATATATTTCCTGGATTATGGTGCCCAGAACTGGACACAGTTTTCTAGGTGATATCTGACCAAAGCAGATACAATCTAGAAAAGCATTTCTCAACCTGGGAGTCAGGACCCCTGGGGGGGGGGGGGGGGGGGGAGGAGATCATGAAGGGGTTTCATAGTGATCGCTAAAGACCATCAGAAAAAATATATTTCTGATGGTCTTAGGAACCCTTTTGGCAGAGAGGGCTGAAGATCTCTCCGCCTATCCCTCTCTTCCTTTTTGGAAATAGATGGTAGAAAGCTCTCTCCTCTGATGATTGGCTGGCCTCTCAGCCAAGGGGAGGACTGTTTCTGGGATTCCAAGCTGGGAGGGGAGAACAGGCATGCTCGGTGCATGGCAGCATGCTGCGCATGTGCAGAAGAGGGAGAGCATGTGAGGCTGGAGGGAGGATCGCACCAGCGAGTCCCTTCAAGGCATGGGGGTTCTTTGTGGAAAGTTTGGCACAATTCTATCGTTGGTGGGGTTCGGAATGCTCTCTGATTGTAGGTGAACTATAAATACCAGAAACTACAGCTCCCAAATGTCAAAGCTTATTTGCCCCAAACTTCACCAGTATTCACGTATGAACATATTGGGTATTCATGTCAAGTTTGGTCCATATCCATCATTGTTTGAGTCCACAGTGCTCTCTGGATGTAGGTGAACTACAACTCCAAAACTCAAGGTCAATGCCCACCAAACCCTTCCAATATTTTCTGTTAGTCATGGGAGTTCCGTGTGCCAAATTTGGCGCAGATCAATTGTGGGCCTGGTTCAGAATTTTCTTTGATTGTAGGTTAACTTAAAATCTCAACAACTCCCAAATGACAAAATCACCCCTCCCCCCACACCCCACCAGTGTTCAGATTTTGGTGTATTGGGTATTTGTGCCTGCCAAATTTGGTCCAGTGAATGAAAATACATCCTGCATACCAGATATTTACATTATGATTCATGACAGTTGCAAAATTACAGTTATGAACAAGCAATGAAAATAATTTTATGGTTGGGGGTCACCACAGCATGAAGAACTGTGTTAAGGGGGCACGGCATGAAGAAGGTCGAGAACCACTGAGCTAGAATCACACTGAGTTGTTAAGAAGGAAAACTCTGTTGAGAGTCTGGTAAAAATTCCTTTGACCCAGTGTGTTTGATCCAAATGGCTTGAACATTGGACTAGAAGTCGGGATTCTGTCTGCTGCTTGGCCAAAGAAAACTGAAGGGTGAATTTGGGCATTCCCTGGTGCTGTTTTTGCACTGGCCATTTATTCTGGGGCCAGTTTGGAGCAGAAATGCCTTTAGTGTGATACAAATACCACCTAGCCTAGCAGAAAATTGGAATTTTTATCCATATGAAAGGATAATGATCATTATGTTTTATTCCCTCCTTCAGGTGCTTCTCTACAGTGTGAAACATGTACTGGTCCGGGTAAAAACTGCACAGGCGCCATGGAAGGTTGTAAAGCAAGCGAAGAAACCTGTGTAATCTCATATACTGTGAACATACTTGGTGAGTTGATGGTTCATCAACTAAATGAAGCAAACACATTAGTAACTGGTTTAAAAATGGCTTTTCATAACTATTACATAGAAGCATTTGCTTCCCAACTGTCCCAATTTGACAAGGACAAACCTAATTATTTCTCTGGCACCGCATACTTCAGCTGCTATTACAATATCTCCCTTTTACTTGCCTCCTCCCACTTCCTTCACTCGTTCAATTGCTGTATACTGAGTTCAAAATGCAAAAGCCGAAGATAGAGGAGAAGAGGGGTGGAATCTTGTACTTCCCAGTAAGTCCAGGCAAAAGCAAACTGCTTCAGCATGTACTAGCTTGTATGTTTTTCAACAGTAATGACTTCTCCCATTTTGATCACACTCTGGTGTTGCTTATCTACCCGCGAGGCTGTGAAAACAGTATGGACTGCATCTTGAATTCTTCCAGGTGAGGCAAATGTGGTAGTATTTCCTGCTGTTTTTTTAAATCCCAGAGGAAGCACAACATTTTCCAGTGTGCGGTTATTTGCTCTCCAATGGTGCCAATATTGGGTGTGTGTGTGTGTGGGGGGGGGATTGCTAGAACTCAGGGTCTGCCCTAAGTCTCCAGAGGTTCTATGGGTCTCCAGGAGTTCTATGGACTTACTTAGGGCCTTCCTGATAGGGCTTTATCCCAGAGGTGCTAAAACATTTTCCACATTTTGAAAACACGGATGTGCCTGGGGCCCTGTCCACACTCATCCCAGAAAGCACACGCTTTCTGGGATGAGTTCGAGAGGCCCCAGGAACATGGGTATCAAGATGTTGTACTGGGATTTCCCAGCACAAAACCGGGAGACTTAATTCCCTCCCCAGAAGCCTCCCTAAACACAGTAAAAAGGAAAAGAACTCATCCTATCTCCATGCGACGGATGCCGGAGTTCTCCTGGTGCATACAAATGAAGCACCAGGAAAAGTGGGGGGACAGGAGTGATTTTCCTGCTCTCCCCTTCTCCTGGCACGTCATTTGTATGAGCCAGGAGAACTCTGGCAGCCGTCGCATGGAGGCAGGGTGAGTTCTTTTGCTTTTTTATCGTGTTTAGGTGGGCTTCTGGGGAGGGGCTTGTTATTCCCATGGTTTTCCAGGTTAATTTAGACCAGAAAACTGTGGAAATACTGTCAGTATTCTGCAGTCCAGACACCTGAAGTAGTGGGTTTATCCTGCATCTTCCAAGAAGGTGTGGAATAAACCCACTATCAAATTAATTAACCACAAATCAGGGTTTTCCTGGTTTGAGGTGAATTAATTCCGGATTTTTTCCACAATAAAGAGGCTGTCTAAATCTGCCCTTAGCTTCCTTCTTTTCTATGTGGTGCCAAGATTCATACTTTACTCTGTGTCCATCTTCTCACTAGACATACATAGGTTAGAATAAAGTTTCTTGATTCCCATTTCCCTAAGAAGAATTGGTTCCAGTGTTCACAAGTAGTCAAGGAAATCATTGAGAAAGCTGGGAAGAGGTACTTTCTTTTAATGTATGGCTCATATAGGCCTTTGGGTCTGAACTCTAGGGAATTTCTTCCCTTCCCTGTTAATATATTACCAGCCACAGGGACCTTAGATATCAGTATGAAAGAGTTGACTTGTAGTAGAATTGGGAATTTTTGCTGACTTCTGAATAATAATAATAATAATAATAATAATAATAATAATAACAAGGTTCTTCTCTCCTTCTGTCTTTCCACATAGATGGAGTGACAGATGAGGAAACCACGAAAGGCTGTGGCAATGTTTACAGATGCTCATTCCCCCCAATTCACTTTAATATGGGTCGCAACCAATACTTCAGGTCACACTGGACCTGTTGCAAAGGAGAGGAATGCAAAACTGCCTCTGTTTCATGTATGTATAACATTTTCAACTCTTCCCTTCCCCTTTCACTTTCCTAGCTGCTTTGTGTCTTGTTTAAGAGAGGAATGTGGGGAATGTGGAGGACTCATCCGAGAAGAGCGTTGGTTCACAACTTGTAAACTTTAAGTAGTTGTAGATTACACTTCTACTGCCATACAATTGTAGTTCTACACGTCAGACCTTACCACATTGGGATACAATACATTTCTATCAGGATGCATCCCATATTTTTTTTAAGGACCGGATGCATACTGTATTGAGACAGGATGCATACTCTCCTCATCACACCTGATTTTCACGATTCTTAGGATTTGAAAATACTGTGCTTTGACTCATCACACCATGGAAGGCTGGCTCCTCCCAATCCATTAAAAACACCCTACATCACATTGGGATATAATCCGTTTATATCAGGATGCATCACTCTATGACCTTTTAAAAGGTTTTTTCTAAGACTGCAAGGTGATGTAGCCTTGATGCCCGAACTTCTACTAATTAAAGTTCTTTTAAATATTAACATTATGTTACACATACGAATACAATGGAGAAAATAACTTGTACAGCTTTCAGTAAAAACATAAAATGGCAATTAGAGATTTCAGTAATCCTGGAGATCTGTGGCAGCTGCTTCCATAATGAAAAGTCTATGGTCATGAGATTGCCTACACATGAGAAGTCATATGATTGGCAATGGGATGCATACAGATCAACAATCTTTATTACGGTCATAGACCAGCATAAGGACCACATAAAAACAGCACTCCAGAAACAGAAAAATCTGTAGCATTTCAAAAAACACAAGAGAGCAGACTGAAGAAGCTGGTGGGTCATGGTCAGATGAAACCTGCCAAGTCCAGGCACCTGAATCTGGCTCGGTTCCTGTGTCAAATGCAAGCGCCTGCTCTCCTGAAAGTGGATGTAATGATTTTGCTGTCTGTGGTAAAGGTGAAAATGATACTTCTGATAAAAACGGTAGCCATGGCAACAAGGAACAGGCTTCTGGGATTTCTAGTTCAAAGAACTGCTGTGACATTGAGATTCATGGGAATGAAGATTTCTCACTGGTCCTAGACTGCTGTGATTTATCCGTGTTAAAGGTTGAGGAGGTAGACATTTCCCTTGTTCCAGGCGTCGAGGAATTTGCAAACCCTGCCAAGTTAACAGGATCGTCTCAAGATGCCAGGGATCGCAGGAATCAAATTGTGCATGAACTTGTGACATTACCTGCAGATCACTGGAAGGAGCAGCTTGACTATTACAGGCATTGCAGCCGAGCTCCTGCTTGTGGAGAGCTCTTGTTTGTTACCGGCAGTTGGAGCTTGGAGATCAGGAAGGCAGGTGTCCAATTGCCAAAGGACTTCCCACATGCCTTAAGGATTTGGTACAAAACAAAGCCAGACGGAAGATCACTCAGCTGGACGACAGACCAGAATGACAGGCCGTGTGTTTATACAGTGGGGTCTCCAATAAACAACAGGGCCCTTTTTCCATGCCAAGAACCGCCTGTTGCCATGTCAACGTGGCAAGCTACAGTCCGAGCAGATGCACGCTTTGTTGTTTTAATGAGTGGCGAAAACTCAGCGGAAATAACAGAATCCGAAGAAGGTGTATTAAACTGGTTTTATTATGTGACCATGCCAATGCCAGCATCAACCTTCATTATTGCTGTTGGATGTTGGGCAGAAGTTAAAAGAAAAACTTATGCAACTGGCGTTCAGAGGAATGATGGGATCTTTCCACTGTTCTCAAAGGCGGATGTCAGGTTGTTAGAAGGGGCTTGTGGTCATGTACCTTACCCCTGTCGTTTCCAAGAACCTGCGGCCGCTTCTCAAGTGGTTATTCCTCATCGTATCTTTGCTCCACCATGCCTTCAGAAATCCTGTGAAGAGATTCTACTCCCATTGATTCCTCAGTGTCTTTCCGCATCTTATGCTCTACTGGGCACTCATCCATTTTCTCGCCTTGATGTCTTGATTGTCCCATCCAACTTTTCCAGTCTTGGAATGGCCAGGACTTCAGATGCAGCTGTATGGTATTCCGGAGGAAAGTAAAGACCTGGATGTTTGAACAGGCTTTCGACTAAGCAGTGTGATTGATTAACTGATTATTGGAACACGGAATAATGGATAACGAGTTTTGGATTCTGATTACGAGTTTTGGATTCTAATTTCACCYARTAGACCGGATYGATTTGTTWTATTGATGTATTGTTGTTTGATGCTTATGTTAATGATGTWAATGATGTTAATGACTTGTGATGCTTTTGTTTTTTAAATSCATAATGATTTTGTATCCTGTATATCTAAACTGTTGTAAACCGCTCTGAGTCGCCTAAGGGCTGAGAAGAGCGGTATACAAATAAAGTAAATAAAAATAAAGTAAATAAATTAGAATTCTGTCWGCAAATAARCCATTTCTCCAACGCTTTGCAGATGGATTCCAGCAGAATACTGAAGGGATGGGGCAAATATCATGTGATGGGACCAATTCGATATAATTCTCAACCGTCTCACAAATATTTCATAATATTTCACAAGTATTTCATAATGGGATAAGTTCTTTCTTGTTGTTATGTGCCTCCATGAGAACTTTGACTTACTGTGTCCCAGTTCTAGGATATTCCTGGCATCATTTATTCAGAGGAGAGTTGCCACCGCCTCCATTTTATGATGAAGAGAGTGTGACTTGGGACCTGTTCACACTACCCCTTCCCCAATTTGTTCTTTGCATGTCTGCCCTCCTTCCCCCATCATATTGGGGGAACGGGATAAGGCGTGTTGGTGCCCTGTCCCAATCAGATGGGGAAAATAGGTGAAAAACATTTAACTTTCCGTCGTGGCCGAGGAAGCCTCTTGCGATGCTTTCTTGCCACTTCCAGGTTCAGTGGAGTGGAGCCTGCCAAGCATCATGCGATAGCACTCAGCAGGCCCTGTCCTCCAAATGTTGCAAGGGGCCAATTTACCTTAGTGTGATAAGGTGGTTGGTCAAGATCTTCCAATGGGTTTCTATAGATGTTTGAAGCCCAATCTCCTGCAGTCCCAACCCAATGCTCAAAACTACAGGCTCAGACTTATTCCTGAAGTCTCACAAGAAGTCCAAAGAGCTGAGCTTTCATATTTTGAATGCATCATAAGTTTACATGACTCACTTGGAAAAATAATAAAGTGTGGTAAAAAGGAAGGCAGTAGAAAATGAAAGCCACACTGCAGTTAAATGGACTCATTCAAGGAGGTCAAAGGCCTGAATTTGGTAGAATTGAGTAGTGGAGTAGAACTAACCACTAAGTCTAATCATGCTACAATGAAAAAAATGCTTGCACATGTAGTCTTGGTTAGATTATTATGGCAAGAGGAAGGATTATCATTAATTTGTATAGGTTGGCTATTCCAAATATATAAAGAGAAAATAAAATTAAAAAGAAAGGAGGGAGGAGAGGGGATGAGGGAAAACGCAAAAGCCATAGAGAAACTTCAGATGGGGAGGATGAAGATCCAAAGTACTCACGATCTGGAATGTGGGGAGAAATGGGGGCGAGGAGATAATATACCTTGCAGTCATAAGGAAGAAGGATATAAGAGGATTGTTAAATGGTTCAAATAAGATTAGCCTCACTTAATATAAATTCATTAGCTTCAGATGTTAAAAGGTGGAGACTATACAAAGACCTGGAAAGGTAAAAGATCAATATTTCGCCTTTGCAAGAGACCCACAAGAAGAGAAGTGATAAGACAACCATTGTTTAATTATAGGAGGTGGAGTACAGTGGTGGAGGCCAGATTTAAAAAGTATAGAGGAGTTGGGATAATGTTTCATGATAGCCTCAATGTGGAAAGAATCTATCAAATGTCAAATGTACAAGGAAGATTTTTATTTTTTAAAATAAAACTAGAAGGTAAAATAATGACATTGGTCAGTGTTTATGCTCCTAATACAAGTCAGGAAAAATCTATACAAAAACCTTTTAAGAAAATAGATAATTATTATGATGGTGATGTCTTGATTATGGGAGACTTTAACTTTGATTTCAGTAAGAAAAGTAATGTGAATTGGAAAAGGTGGAACTTAAAAAATGTTTATGAGGTGACACAAGATCAACAGCAACTAACTTTCTATTTGAATAGACACAAGAAATATACCACAATTGATCATATATTGTTAAAGGAGAATTTCAGTATGAAATAAGATCTTGTTTTTACAGATACAGTCTGGCTCTCTGATCATGCCATGGTGATGGTTCATTATGAGATAAGCGGGGATGGAGTGGATAAGACATGGAAGTATAAAAATATAATTTGGAAGGATTTGAAAAGTAGAGAATATATGAAAGAACAGATGAAAAATTTCTTCCATGACAACAATGGTTCAGCCAGGATACAAACTCTTTGGGACACTTCAAAAGCGGTCTTTAGAGGACTATGCATAACTAGGGAAATAGATTATGAGGGAAACAGGAGGATGGTTAGGGAAAAGAAATTGAAGGAAAATACCCTATGTCAGAAAGAAGTTCAACAGAAGAAGGATAAGGAGAAGGGAGATAGATTAGCCCAGTTAAAAAAGGGAATTGTCAGAGATCGATGCTTTGGAGCTGTGGAAAGTTGCTGTAATGGTTAAAAATGGTTACCAGCGAAATAATATTCAATCTATGAAGAGATTGGCTAACTATTTTAAAAAAAGAAGGGAGTAAGACAGATAAGAAATAAGCAAAAGGAAAAAAATAATGGGAGCAGAAAAAATATTACAGGTTTTTGCAAGTTACTACAAAGAACTATATGCAAAAAAGAAAAGAAAAGAAAAACAGTCAAAAGATGGGAAGAAGAAGTAAATACAAAACTGGACCCCAGGGAGGCAGAGTTAATGATAGAAGAAATAACTCAGGAGGAAATAAAAAGGCGATAGGGGAGCTGAAAGGTAATAAGGCACTGTGCGTTGATGGATTTACAGGTCGATTTTATAAGGAAATGGGGGAAGTGCTAATACCACAACTATAGGTAAAGGTAAAGGTAGTCCCCTGACATTAAGTCCAGTCATGTCTGACTCTGGGGTGTGGTGCTCATCTCCATTTCTAAGCCGAAGAGCCGGCGTTGTCCGTAGACACCTCCAAGGTCATGTGGCCACTGGCATGACTGCATGGAGCACCCTTACCTTCCCGCCGGAGCGGTACCTATTGATCTACTCACATTTGCATGTTTTCGAACTGCTAGGTTGGCAGAAGCTAGGGCTGACAGCGGAAGCTCACGCCGCTCCCGGAATCGAACCTGCGACCTTTCGATCAACAAGCTCAGCAGCTCAGTGCTTTAACCCACTGCGCCACCGGGGGCTTCACAACTATAAATATTGTTTAATCACATAATGAGATGGGGCCCACCACCAAAGTCTTGGAAACAGGCAGAAATACTTACAATTTTAAAAGGGGGGAAGGACCCATTAGTGGTAACATCTTATAGGCCGATAAGCCTGATGAATCAGGATTATAAAATCTTTACAAAAATCTTGGCAAGAAGGTTAGAGAAGCTCCTCCCAAAATTAATTAAGGGGGACCAATACAGCGTTGTATTGGTAGGAGTATTAGCCACCCATTAAGAAACATAGTAAATATATTAGGAATTAAGGACAAGAAGGAATGCTTTTGCTTCGGTAGATCATGAGTATTTATATAGAGTCCTGAATAAATATGGGTTCAACAGAGAGTTTATTAAGATGTTAGTGGAGAGACGGACAGGAGGATCAGGATAAATGTCACCCTCTGTCACCCTTAATTTTTACATTAGTAATGGAGCCTTTAGCAAATAGAATAAGGAATAATGGATTAAAGGATATAGAATAGGGAAGGAGGAAATCAGAATTAATTGATTTGCAGACAATATTTTAATTATAATGGAAATCCAAGAAAGACCTTGGGGGAAATGAAAGTTATTTTGGAATATTTTGAAAAAAGCATCCGGCCTGAAAAAAAAATCTAGCAAAATCAGAAATTCTAACAATGAATATGAACAAAAGGAAAATTAAGGAAATTCAGGAAAAGGGTATAATTACAATAGCCAAGAGAAAGATTCGATATTTGGGAATTAGAAGACTGGCTTTTACAATATGAGAAAACAGCAAAGGCAGTGGATCCCCACATTGTCTAAATGGTCACCATTGTATAGTTTGTTTGAGGGTGAAGAGGAACACTGGCTGAAGAAGTTAAATAAAGCAGGATTTTCAAGAGTGAAAGACTTATATAATAATGGAGAAGATTTGATGGATTTTACAGAGTTGGTGGGAAAAAGGAGGAAGAGAAAATTGGTTGAAATTGAGAGGAGTATGGGAAATGGCTAAGAACTAAGTAAAAACAGAGGAAAACGAATTGGATTCCCTGATCAGACAAAGGATATTTTGGAAGAGGGTACTAGAAAAAATAAATGGGTTATTCAAAATAATTTTGTACATTGGGCCTGGACTATTGGATATTGGAACAATGGGTTTACAAACGTTGAAGAAAGAAGACCAACAAACTTTGATGGCAATGTATTGTCGAAGGCTCCTGGGCAACATCCTTGCAGACGGCCACCTCACTACCTCTGAGGATGCTTGCCATA